CATGACTCCAAGGTCAGCTGCTGAGTCAAAACAATTGCCCCCAGAGGTACTATGCTTACTCCATAAGTCTGATCTCAGTGCAGATGACTTAAGGAAAATTTATAACTATGCTCAAGCTAATCCAGTGCATCTCAGCCACCACATAAGTCGTCTGGAAGTATTATTGACCAAACTAATTAATCCTGTGGAATGTAGTTGTTCAAGCAGAAACTCTGTGCATTTCGACTTTGCCTGCAAAAATGTGGAATACGATGAAAGGCTCCAGCTTTCCGCCGCATGTTTCTCCTTAATCCCATTTTTAAAATTCTCCCCTCAGCGTCTTCAGGAGTTCCAGTTACGTCTATCCAAATGCCTTTGTGACTCATTGTCCTGCCTCTTCGGAATTCATGGTTTGCCTCACGTAACTTTATCAACCGTTCAAGCGTATCTAAATTCGAAGGTAGACGATTTTTCATGTATTATTTCGGTAGACAAAATCAAAAAGCTACCTGACGACTTCTCCAAGTTGCTGATTATGCGTGTTGATTTTCTCACTTATTGCTTACGTTATATCTTCACGCGTGATTGTCCAATGCACGTCAATTTTTGCTTACCTATGTTTGTTTCCATATTTAATGGTTTTTTCGAAGTAAGATTGACGGACGTGGCTAATATGCCAAGTAGTCTGCTAAAAAGTTCTAGTCGTCTCATGTTATGTTTAGATACAATGTGTCAAGCTGTTGGTACAGTAATCATGCCCGCTGTTCCTTGCTTGTTAACTCTTGTCACATACCACTTAGAATGGACTGCGAGCTGGCGAGTTGAAAGTAAAAATATGGAGTATTTTGTGCGCCTGCGTTTGGCAGCTTTTTCTTGTTTACTCCATCTCACCACTGCGAGTTTAAAGTTTTCGTACGCATATTTTATGGAAATGATACCACGAATATTTTCTCAGTTGGTGTATGATTTACGAGGATTTCTTTCTACTTGTCAATGTACGTATCCAATCACATCCACCAATGCTGTTTTCAATAATGACCATCCGAAACCTCAAGTAACTTCACTTGGACTGTTTGAAAAGCGTATGCTGTTGGCGATCCTGCTCCTAGTAGAATATATTTTTAAAGACCCAGGAGTTCTGCGCTATATTGAACTCTCCAAAGCAATAGATTCCAGTTGCACGACTGGTAAAGAAAATCCCTCAAGTCATACACCTGTTCATAACGAAGTGAACAGTCTTCTAATCTGTATAACCAGCTTACTCTCACATATAAACGTTGTTCTTAGTTATGGAGTGTCTCATACTCAGCGGCAGAAAAAGATCAGTACCATGAATTTAGTCAGTCCACCCCTGTTAATTGCTTTAGCAAAAGCTTCTTTTGCATGTGCCATGTCTACTCGTAGTCAAACGTTTCATGTCACTGTTCGAAGATTCTTCGCCAACCTCACGAAACATTCAGACAGTGTGGTAAGTTTAATCGCACTAGGTAATTACCATCAATTATGTGGTGCAAATATCAGCAGTTCCGTCAGTCACGAAGATTCAGAGATATGTAGAAACACTCTGTCAAGTAATCAACTTACTCCTCAAACGAAGCTTGTCTTACCCGATGAGAAATATAATGTCGTCGAATATACTTCGGAAGTGTGTTCTTCAATTAAGATTTCAAATCCCGAACAGGAGGGACCTCCCGTCAAGCGCCTTCGAATTACGGAGTCACATACAGTTGCACAAGCTACTGAGATATGTTCAAATGCTAGCTGTGGTGCTTTAGAAGCTGACGTCCCACCTAGAATTCAACAAGAGAATTTGCCGTTATCTGGTGAGCGAAACGCTCTTGCATCAGAGGATATAGACAGTTTTCTGACCACTTTTGATCCGACTTTTATGTGATTCTTTGATACTTTTACTTCCATCCATACCTTTGTAAATAAAACGCTGTTATTGTTTGGTTAAAAGAATATTAAGAATAATTCAATACGTTTGTCCTCTCAGCTATGGCAATGCGTAAATCGTCACATCTAACTTGAGAAGTCGCTTGCAAGTTCTCCGTCTTACTAACTGCCTTTTCTGTGGCTTTTGTTTAAGTCATGAAAAACGTATGTATGTTTCCTGCCAAATAAGCATATTGCACAACAACCAGATTACTTAACTAACATTTCGGTTCCACCTCGTTACATAATTATAATACCGCATTTGATTTAAAAACTTAAGTTCAACAAACGTTACTATTGTGTGTAAACGATAACGAGTTCAGATAATGTTTAAGAGACCTATGTATTAATTATATGTATTGTTTGATTGTTCCTAACAAAGAATGGCACAAAGTATAAGTCACAGAATAAACAACCATAATAGTAAAGTGCTAATCGCCTATGTTAAAGTTATTGCATTTGTTGTGTCGATTTAATAATCAAACGTCGAAAACTTCTGTTGGGTTTTGCGACCATGATCACAGGTTTGTGGAACCTCAACCCTGATCCTTTATATCAAGTTTTTACTTCTAAGTGATCAAGTCACAGTCCCGTTCCATACCTCATTACTTCCCCACTTCGTTCCTTACATCATTCTCATCGTTAGTCTATACTACATCAACCCACATGCTAAGGGTGAGGGATATTATACTGACTGACCATACAAACTGAATTAACATTAATCTACACTCACCACCGTTCTTCAAATGTGTAAGACATTTTAGTAATTCAAGCTGTTCGGACGTGAAATTCAAAATCAGAAAAGTATGTTGTGTTTTTGACACGTACAAACAGAACTAAGCTATGGTTATCCACTTAACCTCACCTCTATATCGTGGTGACCCCAAACGATTAACTCCTTGGTTATCTGAATATTCAATACCGACATGAGTAGATATGGAATTAAGCTTGAAAACAAACTATTCATCTGTGAACTGTCTCTTAAAAGTTACATGTGCATTTCCAAACTGATTGCCACTTCATGAACTGAAAAGCTCGATATATTATGTATCACCTGTTGTTTAGAATCTTTCTATACTTTTGTTGGACATAGTTTGAAAAAAAATAAAGGGAAGTTTCTGTCAGCAGCTTCCAGATTTACATAAGGACAGACGAACAAGTGAAATGCATCAGGATTAAGTCAAAGAGGAAATACTAGTGTGGAGGGAAAGTCTAGTCTCCACTCTGTTTCGAAACAATGGTAAATACTGGTCACAATCCACAAAATGCTATGTTGGAACGGCTGTCAGTGTTATTGATAGGTGTATCCCCAATATATTTAATGGATGTAGTAGATGAAGACAAACGATACGAAGTTTCAAATTATAAAGATATGAGGCTACTCCGGAGAAAAAAATCAGTGGTTATACCAGACTTATATACTGAAATGATGGGTGTAACACCGCAACAACAAAGGGCCCTTTGTTCTCTTTTGCCTACCAACAACTTGGATAAATTACTCGCCTAAAGTTTTGATGCGTGGGCGAGATCGACTAGTTGTTTGCTTACTCAGACTTGTAGACAGATGGGTTATATATTCTCCTGTTATTATTGTTGGATTGTGTCGGTTTTTGGTGTGGAAATATATTTAAGTTCCAGTCAGGCTAATCACGTGTTTTTTTTATCTGAGTTGTGTTGAAGTGTAGATATTCGTCTGAGGCAGATGAACGTCTCAAGACGTGGAAAACCGACCGTCATAACAAGGCTCCAGTTTTAGCAATGTAAAACGTTTCTAGAGGTCTTTGTTACGATAAATGAAGTGTGGGAAAAGTTGGAACAATCCGGATTATTCATATTTTTGTTGTGTAATTAGTAGGTAACTTTGCCATAATCTCTTTATTGTAAACTCCCAGTCAACCTATCAATTATTATGCCTTTCACTGTTCCTCAGTTATTGCTAATTAATCATACACTGTCTGCTCCGCTTTCTGTCACTTATAACATAACTCTGTCTAAAGTATGCTTTGTGGTCTGGTAATTAATTTTTGTAAGCCGAGTGTTTCAGGTAGCTGTTGTGCCAGCGGGCTCGGCTAGGTTGTTGAAAACTTCTCTTAAAACTCAAGACTGGGATCTTAAGGAGAGGTAGAGTAGCAGAAATTAACGGGCTAACTCCAAAGGATTTTGAAAAAAAGATAGTTTGAAGTTGTTAATAAAACTGACTTCTTTTTTGCATTCACAGCAAGCTCATCTAGTCAGCCAGTCGTTATTAGTTCCGGTCGACAAGAAGGAATCATAGTCTCATTGCAATATGTTAAGCATCTAAAATTCTAGACAACGTATTAGCATAATACTTAACCGAAGCTCAGAAATATGAGGTAATTTCGTCGTATCTGCTAGCACTGAGCAAAGTATGGACCATTAGAGTACTTTAGGACTGTAGATTCTAGCTGTTTCTTGATCTGAAGGCGATACGGGAAGTTACTAATTGAGACCCCCTGTAATAATAAAGTGTTCAAAGGGCCGTAAACGGAAGCTTCTTATACGAATACTCATGGTCAGATTGTCTTGCGGTAAATTAACATATGGGTTTTTTACTTCAGTTAGCATTGTTCGAAGTTGTCCACCCTTCCTGTTTTTATTCAACTTTGTTATAAATAAACTACGAGTAATCACCTCTGCTCTCCTTGATTTGTTTAACCCAGAATTATTGATTGATGCAGAGCGATCATAAAAAGATCAAAGTAGGATGTCAGAGAGGCAGGACAGTCCCATCTCTGTAGCATCCTTGATTAGGGTTAGGTTACCAACCACTTCTGTTTACGTTTATTCTCTTCGCCCCTATGTAGCTGCAATAAATTACGAAAATACATTGGTAATACTATTATGTATAATGGTCTTTTTCGCTTGGAACTAAGCAGCCGTACAATATTGCAATGTTTTCAGCCTTTCTAACACATTATACAATCAGATGTCTACAACCCTTTATCGAGTAAATATCATTTGCACAAGTGAATGATGACTTGGAATCACGCAACTGAATACAGTGCTCTTAGACTAAAATACGACTTACTGAGTTCCAGCCTGTATATACGCGGAAGAAATAACGGTTACAATCAATATATGTATATTTCTGAGACGAGTTAAAACTTGTTTGGTGAAGTATGCATGCAATAAATAAGTCTAAAGTTCACAGGAACAACACAAGTATTTCATTTATGAGCAAAGCAACAGTAATAAGAACGAAACAATACGAAATGAGTTGTTCAATGAAAAGATGCATCTCCTTTAATTAAGATGATCTTCGATTAATTATCAATAGTCAGCAGTCGTACATCTACACCAAATACTTCCAGCATATATCCCATTAGTGTCTTTTGTTCTCCAGAGCGAACTGATTCCACAAGTTTACAAACTCTGTTCTTTAAATTACGTTGTCTACAGAGGGCATGAAGGCATACTGCTGATTTTAATCACTATAGTTATTTCACATTGAAACTTACTTAGTACTGGAACAAGTAGAACACAAAAGAAAAAGATGATTCCAGATATGAAACGAATCAGTAACATGGCGATGACAATACATACAGGTACAAGTATCTTTGGTTGGTTAATAGTGTTAAGGGTTTGTGTATCTAAAAATAGGAGGATCATCAAGGGTAAGCATATCACAAGAAGTCCTGTTATAACGGGAATGGGATTAAGCGCGCTATAAAAAACATTTTAGAAACTTAATTATGTATTACCTCAGTAACATTATTATAACTAAGCTTAACAAAAAGTAATTCGACTGATAATAAATTAGATTTGAAACCATTCGTCCATTCCATTTACATTCTTTGGGTATACTGTATCGAGCGCCAAAGCCTAAAAAGTCATTGAAAGATCGTAAAGGTACTGAACGCATCTAGGTTATGTTCGCAAAAGTATTAAAGTCTGAAAAAGAAATGTAACACAGAGACGTTATGGAAATAACCAAACATTGAAATTTAAAAAAAACTAGTCCTGATAAATTTAGATGATGTAATAAAATCACTTTGTCAAAACTATGTAATATATTAGCACAATACATTTTGAAGTCTGACCACATATTCATTTGTTACGAAATTTATATATGAAAAAATGAAGGTCAACTGGGAGGGAATCAAAGGTAATAAGGACAACAATGTGGATTACATTACACATCCGTCTAACTTATCCTACAATTATCTGACCATCCTTTGATCTTCACACATAAGTCCACTAACAAGCATATGTGCGGTCAGATTGCTAAAAATGTACTATCTTAATACACCTTTTAGTTTCCATGAACTTTGTTCTACCGCTGCCTTATCTAGACAATAAAATACACTTATTTTTCTTAATTAAAAGACATTTTTATATTATTAATAGGTCCTCATAAATATTAACATATATAAAATGTTTGCTACATATTTTCTGACTCTGAACGACTTTCTTTGTTTTCTGAACCCTCAATGTTTATTTTATATGCTAGTTCTTCCGTAAATGTATACTTTATGAAACTGCTTTTTCCACTGTTTGCTAATCAATAATCACAAAAGCTATTTGGATACTTTACCATAAATCTATTTGTCTATGATAGTTCATGAAAAATATGAGGTTGTGATCTTATGTTCCTCAATTGAATTTCAAACCAAATTGACCAGTTACAGTTCTGTGCCTTTATTTATCTTAATGTTAAATTTGAAATATACTGCTAGACATAAATCGGTGAGTTTAACGGAACCATGATTCTTAGCCTTTTGTATTTATAAAGATCTGTATTGCGGATGAGGAGCAAGAATACGATGTCTCTTACTTCCCCTGCTTTAACTGAAGCAAATAAGACTGTGTCGCCAAAGGTTAACATCAACTTCTTTCACTTGATTTGAATGTCTTTAACCATATCCGCAGATTATATGGGAGGTTTAGAAGACTGATCGCATGAATGTACCACAGGTTGCGATGTTAATTTCTTAGTGACAGATTTAGTGCCTGGGTCCTAAGAAGTAAGATAATTGGCTGTATTGAAGTTCTTTGTCTTGCGCAGTTTCAACCTACTATAGAAGGCCATTGTTTTTCACTTGTTACTGGTCTTGTTTTGGTATCTGTTATACTTCGATTAATATTTTTAAAGTACTAATGGTCTGATTATCGCATTTTTTAAATTTGATTTACGTTTACTGGTTGGTACATATTTTTATCCTTAATCACTTGCGAAGATACTCCAGTACCTCACTTCTATATGAAGTTTATGTTGATTTCGTCCAGAAAGACAGTAAAAGCTTCGAAATTAAATAACTCATCTTATTAAACGTAGCTGTACGAAGACTATACTCATAATTTACAATACTTGTTGGTACATCTACAGTCCCTCGGAAATCTTCACATTTTGGAAGAAATAAAGGATAAATACTACGCATAGTTGTTAAAAACCGTTGAATTAACACTGTAACAAACAGTATATGACTTTAGTTGTTGTAGATGATGACCTTGCAATATAAGTAAATCATCAAAAAATAAATAAACGCGTCTGTAGTTTCGGATTGCGTCTGAACTATGGAAATTTGGTGAACGTTTAGAAAATGTGGGCCGAACTTCTAAAGTCTGCAAATTCTTCAAAGTTACTTGACCATTTCTAGCTACCACATATACTTACAAAAAAGTCACTCTAAGAGAGGACTTTATACACTTTTTTAAAATAGTTCACAACTGTAGATTAAGGCTTTTAAATATTAAAAAGCCATTATATATGAAGTGACAATACACTTGGCCATAAATATAGACTATAACCCACCCCTCGGGATAACAAATGAAGTCCTTTCTTAAGTTAGCGTGGCAATGAATACCATGACCACCCATTATTAAACGCTGAACATTTAAGGCTATAGTTATGAGGAGCAATTCGCTATCAAAGGAACAGTCGAGTAAAACACAATAACAGGCTTTGACAGACACCAGGTTGTCGGATTTTACATAGAACGTATAAAAATATTAACTAATTGGTGATGAATCACATGCAAGACTTCTTCAAGGGTGGAAATATTCGTTGACCTACAGCGCATTTTCACCGCCGTTTCAGAATAAATAACTTTATGTTAACTGCACTTCTTTTAAAAAGCTCCGACTGACTTTAAGACAATAATGGATGGACTGAATCTGCAATAAAAATATAGATTATTATTAAGAGTCATAACCGCAATAAGTGCATTTAAATGCCAATGAATTTCGGCCCCACGGATTTTATGAGCTTAGAATAGCTCAATTGCTGGCTATATATTTCAACGGTTCTTATCAAAACGTCCTCATGACATTTAATAACACCTAAATGTGTCAGCATCTTAATTAAACTAGTCAATTACGACTAGCTAGTCGTAATTCACTCGCATAACTGTTTCATGTTAACGCACCCGTAAAAATAAACAAAAATTTTAGACAGTAAATTGGATGGCCAAACTTACGTCAAATGTTTAAAAAATTTGTAGTCAAACAGATGCATCCACACAGCACCCGTTAGTTCACAATGTTACGCACTAATTATACGCAGCGGGATGTACTGTCCAATCAGTTTCAGATTGGAAAAGACAAGAGGCTGGATTACTTGTGTTAGTCCTGGTAATAGTGGTCTCTCGGTTGGTCTAAATGTTTTTCGAAAGCGTTGACAGATGGGGCATCAATTATGTTCAACTGGTTGTGGACGGAATAGAAGAAGCTTTCACTTAACGGGCATCCGTGTCTAGTAGCAGGGGATCACCAATACCTCCAGGCAGGAACCTACGTATATTAACGATAATAAAAGAAAAAGAAACTGGAAAATCACGGTAAGATATTATCCTTAGTCCTTAAGAATATGTCAAGATTCCTCTTAAAGGACTCCTGAGAAGTCGCATGGAGTAGCCCAGTCGACAGAGAATTCCAGCATTTGACAACTCTTAAGGAGAAGTTGCGCCCACAGTCCGTTTTGCTGTGTTGTGTCTCTAGTTTCTGGGTGTTTCTTCTTAGGTATATGTTGGAGCTAAACTTAAGTAGGTGTTTAAGGGGATGTCCAGAAGTGTTAAGGGTGCTGTAAGCCATTAGGAGGTCACCTCTAAGACGTCTATATACTAATGTGTAATGGTTCAGTGATTGGAGGCGCTCTTCGTAAGGCTTGAATTTGATTCCCCGGACTGATTTCTTGGATCGCCGTTGGATACGATCCAGAGTGTCCTTATCCTTTTGGAGTGAGGGGATAAATACTATGTTTCCATATTCTAAATGGGGACGTATAAAACTGTTGATGATCATATGGAAAATTCTACCGTCAAACTGGCTAAAAATGCGCTTCAATGTTACCAGTGCAGGGTTCGCTCGAAAGGCATTTTTGTCACAGTTTACGTAAGACTTCAAGTCGTAGGATGCCAGAACCCCTAAATCTTTATCAACTTGGGATACTTCTAGAGAAGAGTTTTCTACGTTGTGACTGTAGTCTGCAACATGTCTCAGATGGACTACTTTGCACTTTGAGTGTTAAAGGTAAGTCCGTTGTCGTCTGCACAACTTCGAAGTCGAGTCAGATCTTCCTGAAGTGCCAGTATGTCCTCTTCGGTGCATATCTCTCTCCAAAGTTTCACATAATCAGCAAAAAGTATTAAGTCTGACGATACCTATTGTGGAAGATCGTTTATATAAATCAAGAAAAGAAGAAGTCCTAGTACTGAACCCTGATCAACCCCACTAGGACATTCCATAGCCTGGGTGAAAGTGAAATCAACCCTGACCTTAAAATGTCGATTTTTCAGATATGAAGTGAGCCAGTCAATTAGAAGTGGTTTGATACCCAATCGTTTGAGCTTAGTGATAAGATATAAAGTAGTTGACTCTGTCAAGTGCTTTTGAAAAGTCAAAGTAAATGACGTCAACCTTCCCCGTTGCGATCAAGGATGGTTGTCCATCTGCCCACCTCAATCAGCAGGTTGGTTATACAAGAAAGATCTTTCCTGAAATCATACTGTCGGGGTGAAAAGAAGTTTAAGGATAGTCGTGTATACCGCCGCAAATCAGGAATTCCATAATTTTTGAAGGTATAGAGAGAAGGGCCAAAGGTCGGTAGCTTGAAGTTTCGCCGCGTTGACTTCCTTTGAAAATAGGTGTGATGTAAGCCAGCTTCCAAATTTCCTGTAGTTTACCTCGGCTTAGAGAGCGTGAGAACATCACGCTAACCGGTGCTGCCAGGATTGAAGCTGCTTCCCTAAGTATAGCAGAATGAACCATATCCGGGCCAGGAGAATTGTCTTTTCTTAGTTGCTGCAGTTTCCGGTACACCAAGTCAGCGCTCACGTTCAATGTGATAAGGTAATGCATTTCATTCGTTGGTGATGCGATGGGAAAGTCGATAGTCAGTTTTTCTGGGCTTGTGAACTTTCTAAGAGCGTTCGCGTACGGCAATACTCAACTCAAGGACAAACGAACACCGTAAACAAAGTCAAAATGGTTTCAGCGTCAACATGGCTAAAGGCTCTAATTAATGACAATAGAGCTCTGAAACCCTTGGCGACTATCGCACAGTAGTGTGGAGTAGCTTTTAAGTCTTGGCCAACGGTGACTTCTAGGTCACGGCATGACTGGAAAATAGGTAGCTCACTATTATTCACCGTGTATGTGTCTGTACCTCGGTGACCAACATGTATTGCAAAGCACTTGGAAGCATCTATTGGACATTGCCTAGTTCTAGACAATTCAAATAATTTCTTCAGGTCATTTCGAATTTCCAAAGTATTTACTTCATTTATTATCGCTCTTTATATTTTAACGTCTTCAGCATTTAATGAAATCGAGGATGATACGAGACTTGGAAGGTCATATAGCGGGGGACAACACTGGCCCCCAAAGTGTACCATGAGGCACTCCGCTAAGCGCGAACAACTGCAAGTTCACCTTCACTTCTTGTTGGCGCCCAATTAAGAAGTCTTCAGTCTCAATATTACTTAACTTGGATAACATGACTGAGCCATGCCATACAAATCAATATTTTGTGCAATCATCATCTTTGACCTTCTCTTCGTGTCAGATTTTGAGAGTGAATTTTCTCAGTTTCTTTATGTTCACCCTCAAAGATCGTGTGGTTTAAAACCAATATCATCACAAACCCCTTGCGGTTTAGGTCCTCATTCAGCATGGTCAGTTCTTTTTCTTGGGCGCTTCTAAGGTCGACTACAGCCTCTAATAAAACTGATCCTAATCGTCTCCATTACCGTCTTTGGTGAGCTCCTAGCACTGGATAACATTCATTATAATCCCCTCCTTCTTTGTTTCAAAGAGTGATTTGATGATCCTGAATCTATGAGATTCTCATCCTATAAGTGCTTTTCATGCTTTATTGAGTAGCATCAAAGCAACTCTCTGCGTAAGCGCAGCATTTTATTCTTCATGACCACAGTACAACAGCACCTCTCCTGAATCTTATATTTTCTGTCCAATAGCTCTCTTCATTTTCACAGCTATATGACTGATTATCCTGGTCTGCCACATTGTCTGGACATTCTGTACACCTAGATTAGTTGTTGCTCTGGTTGTCAGAATAAGGAACAACCTCGTGCATCCAAAGAATCCCGACTTTCACCATAGGTTATAATGATCCTAAATGAATTTCCATGAACTCCTACGATAAAGTTTAAATGGTTCAAATTGTTT